CATTAGTGCATTGTCTTTTCTACCTCCATGTTCAGACTCGCGACTTTTTTTTTTCCTAGCCTATCAACATCGTGCCATGTAAATAAACAAGACAAACACGACACCAAAATCGATTTCAGTACAGTTTTTTCATACTCATTATTCGAGGGCACTGTTTGGCTCTGATCGAACTGAATCGAACTCTGGCAGATCTCGGCTCTCGTTCGGCTCCCGACCGTATGAACGCATTGTAGATAATCTCGTGTTAATCAGTGGGAGGAGCAGTAGTTCGGCTCCGATAGAATGCTGCCGTGTGAACATAGCAAATATAAGCTTAGATAAAGATGCCTTTCCCCACTGACTCATAAAAGTCACCCGCGGTACTCTCTGGGGCTTTGTTGTCCTGTAAAAACAACAATTTTCGCTGACAGTGGAAGTATCGAGATGTGTGACCTTTATTTGATGCAGATACAATGGCAGGAATTTTTTCAACTGAACTAAGCAGATGCATACAATTATCCGACGTCTGAGTTATCTCAAATCCCATCCACTCTGATGAACACAAACAAACAAACAAACATGTTCTGCACTTGATTTGTTTGAACAGTAAATCATATACCCGTGGTACTAGTTGTAATCGGAGGGGCTACAAAGACCATCGCAAAAGTATATAAATCATTGATGCCCGAAGATGGCCAAGCAATACCCGTGGTTGTTGTTGATGGTAGTGGCAGGGCAGCTGATCTTGTCGCTAAAGCACTGAGAATAACAGAGGACGAACCAGACGAACAAATTAGGTATGAACAGTGGCGGATCCAGCAAAATGTATTGGGGGGGGTCCAAGCTACGCTTAAGTTATACGGAGCGTAAATCGCGGCAAAGAAGCTATGCGTAATCCAGATATTACGAATCGTCATGCGTTTGGGGGGCATGGCCCCCCTGCCCCCCTCTGGATCCGCCACTGGGTATGAACAATTAATCTTGGCATGCAACTAAAACAGTGGCGGCGGCACGGGGGAGGGGATCAGAGGGGCGATCGTCCCTTCGAAAAATGTTGGGGGGCGTAGTCGCCCCTCCAAAGTCAAGGGGTCTAGATTTCAAAATTTTCAAGGGATAGCATGCCCCGCCCCTAGTAAGTTCGCGCCTTCGGAGAAGGTTGGTGACCAGACACCCCCCCCCATGCTAATTTTCGTGCCTCCGCCTCTGCGAAGAAAGTGAGTAATTCAGTAACGGGAATGGTCCGTGTTCGTATAGTGTCAAAATGCCCATTTTACTAGCAGAAAAAATCTACCCAAATAGTAACATTTTGTATAGGTCCAAGGGTAAATTACTCACAACTGTGAATTGAGGAATGTACTTTGCGTTATGTGTCATGAATTTTAAGGTGGTTAAACTACCAGAAATTGCTAATGAATCTATTTTACATTTTTCTTTATTATACATACGGTATATGTACAGAACGGCATTGATTGGTTCAGTAAGTTTTAGGGCTGATTGTAGCTGGTAGTAGTTAGCTAGTAGCTATTTGGAGGTATCATGGGATGCCATATAGCCGGGTTCTAGAGCCGATGTCAGTCGCTGTCAGGAGGGCAGGTTAAACAGATCACTGGACCTGGTCAGAACCAGTGTTAATCGCTTGATGTCAGATGATCGGTGATAATATGTATAACATTCTTATTAAATAAATGTGTTTCAGAGATATAATCAAAGATGAACTGGCAGAAGACATACGGAAAGTGCTTTTAAAACCAGATACTGCTTTGAATATTTCTGCTGTGAATAAATGCATTGACACGTTGGCCGAGATCGTCAATTCACAAAACAGAAGTATGGTGAGATATTGTTAATATCTTGGCAGTTGTTGTGTTTTCGTCTATCTGCGTTATTTTTTTTCTTTTATTTGAAACAACCGACAGTGTAGTTGAATAAGCACAGTCGTAACGCTGCATCATGTTCGACGCCCCGGGGTTCGACGCTATTGGATCAAAAGTCACGTACATAACCCGTGTACTGGAAAATTACGGTGGCCCATATATACAATCGGCCCGTTACTTGAAAATATTAATTGGTCCACAACTTGAAACAACACCCTGCTAATATAATATATGTTTCGTAGCCTCACCACAAGTGAAAATGTAAAAATAAGTAAATTTTTGATAATTTGCAAGAATGCTCAAAAACTAATCATATCATTTAGATATTAAAAGCTATGACAGAATCTCGATTGCCATATTCCAACAACCAGCTGTAGACCGGATATGATTAGATCAGATTGATACTTAACTACTAGATAAAATCAGGTTATATGACATCGTATACACTGTAGTAAAAATAAACCGTGGTTGAAGGTACTAAAGGTACTAAACACTCGCATAATAATTCAGTATACTTATAATTCCAAAATAATATCGATATGTATACCATTTTAAACTTGCAGACAGTTTGGTGTTTTTTAATAAAATGATATATTATGAGAGTGTATAAATGACGAAAGCTGGATTACCACGAAATAATGTTTTATTATTGAAAAAAATAAACAAGAGACTGTATGTAAGTCTAATTTAAAGTGATTAAAATAATAGCAAAAAATAGATATGCATCTTAGGTATTACTTATCAGCGCCGTTTGCTTTCCAGGGCACGACGCCAACGTGTCTTTGTTTGTTGAAGAGCTCCGTGTTTATGTCAATTCATTGCAAACATTTCCTTTCAGTTTTAAATATAGATCTAACAAATAACTGACACCCATGCCTCATCGTCAGCCAACTGCAAATTGTTGTTACCGTCACAGGAAACGAGTCATGTTTTTTTGTTTTCTTCGCGTTTGCCAATCGCAATCTAACTGGATGAACTCGAAGAAACCAGAAAATAACTAAAAAAGTAAAAAAAAAAAAAAAAATATGCAAGTCTATGAAATACTAGTAAACCGAGTTTTTCAAAGCATTCTATTCAATTTCACTACAAGGTTTCGCTATCAAATAGTGATCACGTGTGCATCTTTATTTAAATACGTTGCCTTTAGTTTTGGTTATTACGACATGTAGTAATTATTGTCGAGGTATTACGTGTAAAACAGGACGTTTTTTTCTAACATCGTATAATACAAACAAACTCTAAGAAACGTACTAGCTTACTACATAATAGTGATTCTGAGAACTGCAATTTGTAAGCTTTGACTCGTGAGACATTTAAATTTATATTCTGTGCATAGAGGACACCGTCCTGCAGTGTCATTCAGTGCTTGACTGTCATCAAGACATCAAGATGTTGTACCTTCGAGTCATATCTGCAGGTCGAATGTTACCTCTGGCGTTTCTGTTTTTCAAGTAGACGTCCGATTTCGTTTAGCGTATCGTTTTTTTCAAGTAGCGGGCCGATTTTTATGTAGCAGACTAATTTTTTTCAAGTAGCGGACCGATTTACAAGTACTGAGGCAACGATTGTATACATGGGAGACCATATAAACATCGATAAACCCTGCTTGGACTTTTTTAAATGTTACTGGAGAAGATGTTCAAAATGTCTAGCTATTTTGAATAGTTACTCAAGACAACGATTACTATGGCATTAGTATGGTGTACTGCACAAAGTGTGTTTGCTTGAATGTGCACTGCACGATGTCAGTGACTGTTTCAAGTATTATATTATTATATCTTGTATTGTATTCCGCCTGTAGATGACAGTATTTGATATGCATACATCGTTCATCAAGGACATCGATAGAACTATTCTGTGTGGTTTATTGAAAGGTGGGCAGTAATTAACAGTGTTTTCAGAAAAGTCGTTTATAAAATTTACAGTTTATAAACAT